GCCGATTTTTGAGAGGTTCTTGCTGCCTCCATAATCGGGGCGATGACCCATCTTCTATAATCAACATTGAATAAAATGTACCCCAATTAAATGTTTTTAAAAATATCGAACTAATACGAATAAATGGATTTGTCTTTCTTCAGCACGAACGTTCAGCACACACTGATGTAGTAGATGACAGGTATCTTAAAAGCATGTGGTTTGTTGTTTCTTTGACTTTTGTTCCATCATTGTCTGCCCTCTTCACCCCTCTGCCCTGTCACAGACTGGTTCATATGACGGTTATGAGCGCATAACACACTGCTGGCTATTGTTTAACTTCGTCCCAACGTTTAGACAAAACATGTACCAGTCAGGGCAAGTTTTACAGTAACATAGTCTATCCAGTCTCTGTGTATACCCGAGGTTTGCTATCAGTGTGCCGCGGAACACTGGTTTACCGCGACATTTTACAAGAAATTTAAAAATTGTCATGCCATACGGCAAATCAGAGCCCAATCCAAGGGTCCTCTTGTAAGATATTCAAAAAATATTAAGTATTTTATGGAACTTGAAGGTTCATTATCGCTCTCAATAGAGCCAGATACTGGAAAGTTTTCTGAGCCAGTTGAATCCAGCCCGACTTGACAAAAGCATTTATTTAAGATCCATTTTAATTACTAGCTTTTATCACTTCGTCTGTATTGTTTAAATAATAAACATTCAACATTTTTATGAAGGATTATGTTTTGCGTGTTTATATAGACCACTTATTGGGCAGGTATTTTGTGAAGTGACTGCGGGTGTAAGAGATTTGCGAGCAAAATTGTGAATTTAAAAATTCATTAATTTATCATCAGTTAAACAAACGAGTTAAATGTACGTTACTCAGGTACCAAATTTGTTTTTCCTGAAACGTCTTCATATACACGAATATAATCGAAGTACGGCCAACAATAACAATAAATGAAGATTGCCTTCTGGTTTGTTACTATATGTAGTCTGATGGAAATTTTGAGTTATGTGTGAAAGTTTAATTGTAGACTTAATGAATTTTTGTCGCAGGCTTAATGGTTGCACTGATGTGTAGGAGAATGGTCTTCCATAGTTGAGATAGTGTCATATATACACGCACAAGAGGCGTATAAAGGCTGTTCACAAAATCCTACCATATTGTTACTTGGACTATGTTCGTGTTATGGGCTAGCGATTTGCGAAAGACCACACGTTAAATCGAGCTTGGCTGTATGTAGTTTTAATCCTCACGGAAGGGATTTGGCTTTAAGAATCAATTAGGCTTTCAGTTAAACCTGAAATTAATTTTTTTCCCTATTCGATGCTTTTATTCTCAGTGGATCAATGAATATAAAGTATTGTACCCTTCATCTAATATTCTTTATTAGGATGAAATTTCAGGTTTCTAAGGCGACGAGTATGAAGATTATTGTGTTCTGGGGCTTTGCGTCTTGTAGTCTGGTAGAAATTGGTCGATGGCAGAGGAAGTAAGCACCTCTGAAACGTCGGTCAGATAACATTGCTCATAATTCTAGAAAAGTCATATTTATATCATTAGGATGATAAAATATGGGGAATTAGATGGGCTAGGCGTGTAGAACGACGAGATGCGCGTATTTGGTCCGAAAACCTGAATCGAAGAGACGAATTTGAATACCTTGTTAATATTAAAGATAATATTAAAATTTATCTTAAGGAAATAGGATGGGTCGTGGACTAGATTTATCTTGCTGACAATAGGAACCAGTGAGGAGCTGTTGTTGACACGGTAATGAACCTCCAGATTCCATAAAGGGCTGGGAATCTAATCGCGAGCTTATCTACCATTGGAAGGAATCTGCCCCATGCAGTTACTGTTGTAGTTAAAGCCTGTTAATAGGTATTATAAGTGACAAAGTGATTTTAATTTCATAAATGAAAGTACAGTTCCTTACTGGATCTCACCTAAAAAGTTAGCAGGAAAAAATAGCATTTTTGTGAAAGAAAAGGGTTAGAGGTGAATGTCTGTTGCTGCTGTCTGAGCCACTGGTCACAATGGGCCCTTATCCATCGACAGTTGAATATCCATTTCCTATCAGACACCCACAATGTGAAAAATTTCGATTTGCCGTGCCATGAATATAAAATAATATACAGTATATCATATTTACATATATATTATTGCTACCACATACTCGTTCCTCCACAATTCTTTGTCTCGCCCTCTTCTAAGAGCTAATCAGTTTCGTTTGTTGTTTGTTACTTGTTTGTTGATATCACAGCAAGGTGACAAAAACTGTAATTTTGTCTTATGTTTTGTATACGTGTTAAACTTTGGGCTGTCATTTAAGGGTCCACCGTTAGATTGTATGTGCTTGAAAATAGGGTTCTAAGAGAATATTTGGACCTACGAGGGATGAAATAATAGGACAGAAGAATACATAACGGGGAACTTTATAATTTTCACTATTTACCAAATAATTATATGACAACAATATCAAAGAAGATTAAATGAACATAACATGTAATATATGAGCCGGGATAGCTCAGTCAGTATAGTGACTAGCTACGGGCTGGACGACCGGGGTTCGATCCCCGACGAGGGCAGAGGATTTTTCCTCTAGCCTCTGCGTCCAGACCGGCTCTGGGACCCACCCAGCCTCCTCTACAATGGGTACCGGGGTCCTTTCCCGGGGGTAAAGCCGGCCGGGGCGTGATGCTGACCACTCACCCCCATCTAGTGCCGAGGTCAAGGAAGAGAGGAGCTATACCTCCTCTCACCCCAAACGCCTACATGGCGTATAGTGGGACAAACTTTACTTTACTTAACATGTAATACACAGGGGAAAATGAGAAATACATACGCAATTTTAGTTGGAAACATGCAACTAAGAGACCATTCGGAAAACCTAGGCGTAGATGGGAGGATAATATTAAATAAGTGTGTTTTGGCGTCCTTAATTATATGGAGACGGGCGGTTGTGTAGGTTGTTATTGACTAAATACTGGTGGTAAGCGACGCGTTATTGGTTGTCTACGGGGTCAGTGGGGGTGGGAGACACCCTGAAGTTACAAGGCTTCCTCACTGCACCACTTCAGAGCCTTTGAGTTCTATCGTGCTTGAAGTTTCGTTGGTGTACCTTAAAATTATAATTTCCTTAGTTTTATGAAAGTTGTCAGCGTGAATTAATATTGATGCTTACAGGTGTGGACTGCAGAGGTCAGGAAGGGCGTGGTTCGCGGTTTTATAGATATATTGGTCCAAGCCAAGTCTTAATTATGATTGCTGACTCGGGGTAGAATCTCGAATATTGAGATTCCATTGGCGTATTGGGGCCTTGTCCACGAAGGGATTACAAACGGGTGGTGATATATGAAAGATGAAGTAAAAGGAGACACACGGATGGTGTGTGAGGAGCTGCAGAGATTTTGCTCTTCACATAATACTAAGATGATTAGATTAGGCAGGATGAGATGGGTGGGGCAAAAATACCTTTGTGCTTATGGTGAGCTGAGGAATGCTTACAGAATTTTCGATGGAATTCCTGAAGATACCACCTGAAAAGACGTTAGCGTAGATGGTAGGATAATATTAAAATGGATGTTAAGGCAATCTGGTGGGAGGATCTGACTTGTTGAACAGCTGTTTAAGTACGACTTTGCTTCTTAAAACTCTGTTATGCGAGTAGCAATAATATGCTGCACGTTACACATTGATGTATACGACGTTTCGGGAGTTAATTCTCGTCCAATATTTAACTGTCTGGTTGTCAGTATACTGATAGATTTTTATATTTTTTCCTGGACCTAGTGACGACGTTTTTTTACTACGCTGTAAGCTAACCAAAGCACCTGAACATCTGCCCTGATCGCTGTTTACACTTTCAGCGAATGCAGTTAGATTATTGTTTTCTTTCCATTGCATATTGAAATGATTCAGAGCAATAATGCTCCGATTTGCATGTTATTTGATAAGCTTAATTATTTGTATAGTGTTTACAATTGTACTACCAATCTAAAGATAGATTCCATTGTATATTTTTGTATTTATTTATATTTATTATAACGCAGCGAAATTTCATGTTCATGTTACACCTGATGTACAAGTGCTTCTTACAAAACTGTTAGTCTAACTTATCTTACTTTGTATTTCGAAGTGTGGTCCCTATATTGTCGCGTAAGGTAGATTACAAAAAGTAGGATTTGTGTTTCTCACGGCGGTGAGTATGAAGATTGCTGTGTTCTGAATTTCAGAGCTCTTTGCTGCCTCCATCATCAGAGCGTTTAGATGATGGAAGGCAGCAAGAACCTCTGAAACGTCGGTGAACTTCTACCTGACTATACACGGTACTACAACTCCGAAGACAGCCATATTTGTGTTTACAAATGCAGATCAGGATAATTTATAGTTAGGTTGTATTGTAGGTTTCAGGAAGTTTCAAGAAGTGTCTTGACCACATGACGAGGTGTTTTGTGTTTACTGTTTGATGTTTCGCCGTAAAGACAATAATAATGTGAAATTTGGCTTTATGAGGCGGACAGATGTTACGAGCCTCGTGTTCCTTGTAAATAATTGGATTGTCTTATGTTTTGAAATGGGAGATTCATTTATTTGGAGATATAAAAGCCTAGTTCTAATAAAATCCTGTTTGTCGCCTTTATTTCGGCTATTTTTCTCTTATTTTACTTGAATCACTGTTATCAATTATTTATGACTGATTTATTTACGTCCTTTTCTCCTTTCTTGTCATCTTCCTTCCGCTTTCATTTATTTGTATCCCTTTTCAGCCTTCCAATCTTTATTTTTCTTTTATATTTTCGTTCCTTTCCTCTTTAAATATTTACTTCTAATCTTCCCGCATTTTCATTATTCCTCTCTGCCTGTTATTTTTTGTGATGGAGTTACTGTCCGACGTCGTAAGTCCAAAACCTCTTAGTGTGCTCAAATATTCATGTTTGAACTCACTGTAGTCACTTGCTTAATGTCAGGAACAAAGCGCATTCATCGCTGTTCTCTGTCCTTGCAGACCTCAAGAAGCAGTTCGACTCGCCGCCATATTCGCAGACGGTGGAGCTGGACCGCCAGACGGAGATGCGATGTCACCCGCCCCCGGGTGTCCCACCTCCTCGCGTGTACTGGCTGAGGAACGGTGTCCCACTAGAGCCTGACACGAACCTCATCGTGTCCAGCGAGGGACACCTGCTTGTGGGACAGGCGCGCCTGCAGGATACTGCCAACTACACGTGTGTTGCGGAGAACGTAGCAGCCAGGCGCGTAAGCGAGCCAGCGCTGCTTACTGTATACGGTGAGTGGGATTTGCGGCAAGTGTTTACAATGGAATTACTCATCTGTAAAACTGAAGCTTGCGTTTTCTCTCAGTACCTTCAGACATTTTGTGATGAAAAGCTGTTTCTGGGTGGTTGTGCCGTGTATTCTGGTAGAAGTTTACCGACGTTTCAGACGTGTTCCCTGTCTCTATAGGTCATTAACATCGATAGTATTAATCTTAAGGGGTTTTTTAATTTTAGAATGTCTATTAATCACCGTTGTTATGAATATGATTATTTAATTCACATAACTCAGAAAATGGGTCAACGATTTTGATCTGAACTTACTCAGTGATGGTTGGATATGGCTTGGCTATTTCTTTGTATATGGGGCATACTTTTCAAAAAGAAAATTTGGTCACATGGTCTGTTCTGGTGGGTGGGAATATTCTTATAGTTTTACCGCTTAGTAATCAGAATGGCGTGAGGAATAGCTTTATCTTTCAGTTACAGAACTGAATCTAATCATTTAGGGCAAAGTTTAAAGTATCTGCACCTAAGTGGAAAACACGCAAAGAAAACTGTCCGAGTTTGGAGACAACACCCTTTATCGCTGTTTCAGTAATTATATTTTGTTTGTATTAATTGGTTTTGCGGAACTTAATTTAATATTCTGCAAAATAAATTGGCATAGGTATACTGATTATATGTTTGTAGAAACAGATAATAATTTGACAAGTGTTATAAAATTTCTGCACGTATTGTATCTTGTGTTGTCGATGTCGGACTCCACGAGGACAAATAAACCGCCCGGAGGCAAATCATGTGAGGTCTGAAAGTTAAATAACCGGACTGATTCTGTATGGGCCTGCACGAGATTTCTGATCGTTTGGTTTAGCGAGCGTCTTTTACCTTCAAATTACGTGTGTCTAGTTTATACACTATTTTAAATGTTTGTGTTAGAAATGGGGGCTTTTCTGGAAATGAAATTGCAATATCCAACTTAATTCTTTCGTCATTTTGAGGTGATTCAAAATTGGGCACACTCAAGGAGACTTGTAGTTTCGCGGACGTTAAAAGTCACACTGGACGAAAACAGGTATGATCAGTGTCCAAATTTGCGTTACCGAAAATCCTGTGTAGGAAGTTGCTTTCTTGTATTGTAGTAATCAGTTGTCCGTTCAAACTTAGGCCTTTTTAAATGAATAGGGCGTCGTAAATGTTCGGGAAGTGGATTATCGAAATATTTTGATTGACTTCTTGAATGAGTGAATTATACTGTTTTATGTATATATTATTTGTGCGTCGAACTGGAAGACCCCAGGTCTCAACACCAGTAAATATAATTCCCTGGAGCTTGGATTACTCCAACGATCTTGCTTACGATTCTGCGTAGTTATATTTTTCCCTCGTAATTTTACCATCAAAATACTTTCTGTTTGACAAATCTCCTTAATCGTAATCATAATTACCAGTGTTCTAGTTGCTTCATAAACTAGCAGTCCTGTTATTTAACTATCATAGTTCTTAAGACTTATGGTCGTGACAGAGGGTAGGTTGGGTTTGGGACGAGAATTCCTTTCTGATGAATGAAACACACTGCGGCTGGGTATCCACCTGCAAAATTCCTCGCCTTGATCAATTGGTACCACTGTTATCGCTTCAACGGCACTGTTGTTTATGACTGCGTGGTATCGTATGCATTATTTATGTCCTGGTTGTTGAAGACCGCCTTGTGGCTGGCAAGTGCTCTACCGCCTGTTGGATGCACGAACGTCTTTTCCACCATTCGACTAGACGTGAGTCGAATTTCATCTCTCTAATAACTCTCTTTATCTACAGAATTGGATACAGCATGTGAAGACGATATTAGTAGAATTTCTAGAATGTTTATGTCACGTATTCTTTTCGGTTTTAAATTCAGTAGAGGTGACCTGTCATTTTCTCATCTATTTATTCTTGTGCCACATTGAATTTGAGATGTGCTCAAAACGTTATGGAAGGCTACAGTGCTTGGACACGGAAGAATACTTGCTCACTAAATACACAGTATCAACAACAACAGTAACAACAACATTTTAAATACATTTGTGTATAGACTGCGATAATAAATATATAATCGATTTCAACACAAACATGACGCACTTAAGCTACAAAAAGTATCTTTTTTTCCCTGATGAATGTTTGGTGATTCGGGGCAATACGTTTACAGTCGTAACTTGGACGATAATATAATTTGTGAATGGTGGGTTGTTTGTAGTTATCTGCGGTTATACAAATAAGCTTTAGAAGACGTGAAATTTAATGATGTATTTTTATAGTACAACCTTTGTTTATAAGAGAAATCGTTTTAGAAGAAGGAAATGTAAAACCCATGTTTGCACCTGGATGAATGAATAATTTGTTTAGCAACAAATATAAAAAAAAGCTGTTTGGTAATTTGTTTGGCTTTGGGAGAGGTGTGTCTTGTAAATGGTTCTTTTCCAAGGACAGTTTAAATCCCGCATAGCCATAAAATATAATACTGTACCTTTCGTTTTAAGACTAATCGCTTTTGTGAGCTTTGTCATATGTTGTTGAAGGCAATGTCTTAACACTTGTAAGTTTCGGATTCATTGTAAAAGGTGGGTTACATTTCAGTTTCTAAGACTTTATTTCTGATTCGTGTATTCATTTCCGGTACGCAATGACGTGTATTCTGGATGCCAAACAAAGCATTGTCTTCGTCTTTCTGGTCAGGAACTGGACATAGTTTTACTGAGAAAAAAAATCCGTCATGTTTTTGAGGGCAGTCCGGAAATATAGTTCCGTGACGTCACCCTTTGACTTCGAGTCTGTTTTGCTACTCCGTTCGAGACTCTGCGTGGGTCGAAGAAAGGAGTAGCATTATATGTAAATCTGAAGCCGTGTAGCTACCCAGTAAGTGTTTTGATATCGAAGACAGGAAACTAGTTTCAGGGATCCTTCGATGCTGTTGAAAACAGAGTACATTTAATGCATTTACTAACTTCTGGATGCATCAGACACTGTTGTGAAATTTAATATGTGGCCTATCACAGGCTTTGAAAGTAAAATTGAAGCTCGGCCGGGGCGTGACGCTAACCGCTTATCCCCATCTAGTGCCGAGGTTAAGAAAAATGCATATATGGTGTATAGTGGGACAAATTTACCTTACGAAATCATGTATTTAGTTCAACAATTACTACCAACCGGGGATTCAGGTATCTGTGAATTTGTATCCAGCTCTCCGATAGGTGAATTTGATTTTATATTTGCGCGGCTTTTTGTGTACACATGAAAAAATCTGTGGTTTGCATCCAACAGACTGCTTTGTTTTGATTTGACGCAACGACGATCGCAGTCCTACCAACTGCTGTTTTTCAGGACAGTATCCTTCGCAGTTGAGGGATTTCTGTTTTTCTGTTTCAGAGCCACGTTACTTTTAATCTTCATGAATAAATTAATTGAAGATAAAAGCTTATCTAAACAAGATTTAAACATGTAATCTAACATTCCAAAACTTTTGAATTTTGTCAGTTGCTACACAGAAGCATCGGCTCAGCTGGGATATGACGCCATGTGATCAAGTAAGTTGCTCAAGATGGCTGTCTTCTGGCTATCATCAGACTCACGGCCGTGAAAACATCAGTTCTTACAAGTAGGTTGCTGCCAGCAATATTTATGGCGTCCATCTTCAGGTTTCCTTCAAAACGTTGCTAACCACTTCCCACGATTCACATTTTCTTCGCCGTGAAAATATTAAATCTCGTCACTACTGTAATTTAGCTTTCATTCGTCATAGGATCGGTTGCAGAATACGGATGAGAAAAATACAAAATCCCTGCGGTTCATGTCGGGAGTTTCAGTTCATACGAACAGTTTTATTATTACGTCCCATCCTGGACACCTACACATCGTAAATACGACATTTTCTTCGACATTACTGTCACGGTCACTCCCACACTCCAATCTGCAAGTAGAAGGACGGTTTTGTTCTTTTAGATCTGAGTAATCTTGTCGCCCGCATATTTTATCCTCACGAGACGTCCTTTCGATTTGCAGTCGGTGAATGTTTTGTTTACTTCTGACTTCACCAGTTTCATGTGTAGTCTCATGTAAGCCTCCTTGCTTAAGATCAGACGAAACGTTTTGCTGTGTCATCTCCGAAGGATTGAGCCAAATTTCCGGTGACGATTCCAGGTCTAGATGTC